ACATTTTTAAATTTTTATTAAGCAAAATTTTTTACTTTATTTATAATATACTCTATTCATAAATAAAATAAAAAATTTGTTTGTTTAGAGTATAATTTTAATTTTTTATGCAGATAATGACTTCATATTCTTAGTTTAATTTTAAGGATATATTTCCCGGATGTAGAAATACTTTTAAGAATTTTTTCTGGATTAGCCGATACGTGAAACCACAAATAAATCGTTATTCACCTGTGTGTAGATTTTTTGGGCGTAATGTAAATTTGAGCTACAGTCAATTTGCTTTTAATGACGGTTGTATAATACTAGGTGCTTATTTAGAATATATAAATGGCAAAAATGGACAAGATAATACATTTAACATAACATCAAATTGTTATTATTTCTTTTACAAGCTAAAGTATTTAGTGAAATTATACGAAGCTAAGTGTGATACTGCGAAAGACTGTTACGAAAAACTGAAAAGGAGACAACAGGACGTGAATACAATAACTCTGCCAAATGTATGTGATAATAATGATTTTGAGAAATTTGATAATTCTATATATCAAGTAATGAAATATCTTGATAAACTGTATGATAATTTTGAATCATTAAAAAGATTTAATAATAAAAGAAATATTAACCAAGCACGCACAAAAGCCAGAGAATGTGACAAAGAATATAAAAATCTTTTCGAAATATCTGGAAGGAGCAATAACATTAGTTTAACTAATTTATTGAATGAATATAAAAAATCATATGATCAAATTATAAATGAAATGAACGAGAACGAAGAAAGGCAAAAAATGGCACAAGCCACATCTACTGGAAATAAAGCAGGTGGAGTTTTATTAACATGTTCAATATTAATAATCATGTTCATTCTATTCAAAGTAAGAAGGAAATTTAATTTTGTAAATGTATAAATTATAATAATGTATATAAGCTTTCATTAAAAAAAATTTAACAATTAATAATTCATTCATATAAATGCCATATTATTTCTTTATTTCTAGTATACACGTTATGGTATTTATATACAAAGAAAAACAGGAAAATTAAGAAGAATGAGAAGCAAAAAATATAAAGAACAACTAAATTTAATGGATTCAATTGAACAAACAAGAAATGATAGTATTTGTAGAAAGCACAAAATATCATATTGCACAGATAATTACGCATAATATAAATACATTATGAAATAATTAAATAAAAATATATTTCTATAGATTAACTAACGTATAATAAAAAACTGTAATACAGTAATAATGAAATAAAAATTTGTATTATAGAGGGGAATAGATTAATATAAATATAATATGATTCAACGTGTTCTAGAATCTTTTTTAACTTTAAGCTAATGAGTAGAATGTATATTTTTGTATGTTCTTATATAATAGACAATAATTGATGATATTTTTAAAAATATAGAAAAAAATATTAGTTCATCAATAGAGATAAGTAAAGTTAAATACTAAAATTAAAGATTTAAAAGATAATTTCATTAAATTTAACGAATTATTTTAATTATACAATGTTTAAGAAATATGAAAACTCATTTATACATTTAATTAATATAAAAGCTAAATTATATATATCATAAAAAAAAACAAATAAGTATATTATTTAAAATATGCGTAATAGTGTAGTTTTTAAAATAAAAATATCATTTATTATATATAAATCAATACAATGAAAATACATAGGCAATATTAATAATTCCTTTTTAAGAAAAGTTATATTTATATGAAATTTAATGTGTTAATGCACAAAAAATATTTCTAAATAAGCATAAATATATTATAGTTATATATTTTTGATTAATAAAGATTAACATAAATTTTTTCTATAGTATGATTTGTACATATTAATATTTTACGTATAATATTACAAAGAAAAATATGAGATAGATACATTAGAAAGAGGTTTACAAAATAAATGTATTATATTTACGTATATTGTATAATAATATACATAAAATATAGGTGTAATTGTATTATATTGTTCATCAATAAAATATGTATTATGTTACTTCTTTGTTTAATTATTATAATACTTTTGTTTATCATTTTAATTAAAATATTTATAATATCACATATATGTATACACATTATAGTCATCAGACATATTTAGAATAATATATTCTTCAATATTTATTATTTTTTCCTATTTGTCACCTTTTATATAGCTCAGGTATTACTACTGTCATAGAAAATTAAATTATATATAAGAATATATTAGAAGACATAAGAAAACCGTGACTCAAAATTAATATATTCATCATTTATGGAGATTTATAAAATAAAATTTAAAAAGTACATTATATACAAAAGATTTCTTAGACATACTATAGTTAATATAATATATATGTGGGATGCACATTCAGGCATTTAAATACATATGTTTTATATAAATGTATTACTAAATTTTGAAATTTTTTAAAACTGTATATCAATTAGATCATCATTTTATAATAACAGTTAATAAAAGAAATATGTATATTTGATTTAACAGAAATAAATATAAATGTTACAGAATATGAACAGTTAAATAAATTAAAATATATACACATGCTATTTACAGTGTAAAATACATATATTTATATTTTTTAATAAAATGAATTCTATATAATAGATAGTGTAATATATAAAAATCACATATTTTAAAACTATAATTAACATATATCAAGACATAAATATTTGAATAATACTAATTATAATAATTTCATTTTATCGTAATACTAATTATCATAAATTATCTTATTTAATATATTCCTGTATGTTAATTCTCTGAAAAATATTTTCTGTTTTCTATTATATTTATACCTGTATATATCCTAAAGTAGAAAAGAAAAATTTTATATAATACAAAGATTGAGGTTAATTTGTTTAAGGTTCATTATTTTAACACATCGTATATTTAAAAATTTATGTATTATTTATTACTAAAACAATTATATTCTAAAAAAGTGAATAATGGGCATATATTACGTATCTAATATGTAGAATACTATATTATTATATTTTAAAAGTAGTTCATACTTCAGAATAGGAATGAAGAATTAAAAAACTATATGCTTATATTTTTAATTTAAAAATGACATTATGTATGCAAAGCTTTTTATAAAAAACATGTAATTGTAGAGATTTCCATAGAATTTAATATAACTTAAAAATTAAAGTATGCCTTCTTTTTACACATATAATAGGGGTAGTATATTATATATGATTATACGTTACATAAAATATTATAATAATTCATTATATGTAATATGTTTAAATATATATAGATTAATATGAGTTCATTAATACTAAACAATAAATTATAAAAATATAAATTCTTTTAAGAAATTATATACTTATGTTCCCTCATAGCTAGTTTCTTTTTTTTTGTTATGAGATAGCTAAATAATCATAAATAATAAAAGCAATCGAAAGCAATATATATATTTATTTAATGGATTAATTATATATTATATCACTGTATCTATATTTTTATCTAGAATAATATTATAATTCACATTCATATATTATGTATAAAAGAATATGTTTAAAATGATTGTAATAATATAATGTACCTTAATAAATATACGTATATATTTAACATTGGAAAATTTTGTGTTATATATATAAAAAGAGAAAAAAAAGCGAAGAAGAAAATAAGAAAAGCATAAAAATAACATACGTTCGTACATTTTATGGATTCTTTATGTTTTTTCCATTAAATATTATTATATATGATTTTTATATAATTACATATTTAGAACAAACTTTCTTGAGGATTTGCTACTTTAAATATAATTGTATTATATTTAATGTTTCATTTTTGTGTATATTTCACGTTAACATTGTATAATTTTTCTTTATCTATCAGGTATTATGTATAAATTTTATGAATCTCTATATATATTGCCATGTTTTAATATATAAATATAATAATATGATCTGTTATCACATATTTAAGACTAATATCCATATAATTCATATTTGTAGTATTACAAATACATTTTTTTCAATTTTTTGCATAAATGAATAATCATAATAACAGAACTTGATTTTTTCACTATATTTAAATCTCCGAAAGGTGAAACCTGTAATAATCGAACTTAAAAGTCATTATCAATTTTTAATAATGTATTGTAATAAGAAATTGATAATATATATAAAAAACAACAATATATTATCTTTCAGAACTCAAAATTACAAAACATCTTCTTCAAATATATATAATATTATAATTTTTATTAATTACTATATTTTTTGTGAAAAATGTTTATTTATTATACCATGGCTCTTGAATGAAATATAAATAATTCATTCTGAAGCTCATATATAGTGTAATGTGATAATAGGAGTAATTTTATCTTCCAAGGGAGGAAAATGTATTTAGTATAAATATTTTTATGTAATGAATTCAATATGCCTTATGTTTTATGGGTTATAATTATACCTTCATAATATTCAGAAATGGTAATTTTAATGTATATATTAAACTTCATGTAGGAACAATTTTTTCAATGTACATATATTTAAATTATATGCATATTTTGTTTACATTGTTTTATTCTTTCTAGAAAATTGCATTTTATTATATATTTATTATTTTCCTTCTTAAATGAATTTCCTCATGAGAAGATTTATTCGAGCTCATGTACAATAATTGACATATCAAATTACATTTAAGAACTAGTGTTAATGAATTAAATTTAATTATAACAATATATTGATATTACAATATTATATCTTATCATTAAAAATGTGTATTTATATATTATTTATTTTTCTATACTAAATATATTTATTATTTTTTTTTTTCTAAATAAGTAGAAATTGAAATAACATTAGCTATGGTAAATTGTTAAGATAAATGTTATTTTTTATTATATTATCATCATATTAGAATATTCAAATAATTCAATTTCTTTTATACAGAATATATTATTTTTTGTGTAATTTAAAATATATAAATAGAAAACTATAATTAGGATTACGCATTTATTCGTTATAGCTAACTGACCTTTATACTATTTTATATGTATCATCAATTGAATTTTTGTATTCAACATTAGATGCATGCATAAGATCCAGATTACATATGTTATTTTTTTTCATCACTCTTCTTAATTTCCTTACTCTTGTTTGTAAAAATGAAAAATAAGGGGTATACTGAAAAAAAAAATTAAATAATAAATTTAAATGTTATTCATTTATTTTATATAAATATTTTTAAAATTATTTCTAAAATAAATTATAATACAAGAAACATTTATAAAATTTAACTTATTTGTAACCTAATACAATATGAATACAATTATTAAAATTGAAAATGATAAAAAACCTATTCCCATACCAGTACCTACACCAATATCTTCATCTTTATATGTATCTGCATTTGTTGCTGTTTCTGTAACTGAATCCTGAACAGACATACTCTGTTTTATTTTCAATATTCCTTTTTCTCTCTCTTCCATTTTGATATAACATAAGACACCTTCTACTCCCAAGTCAATAATATCTAATCCCTTCACAAAATTTATGAATAAATTGTTAACATCTGCAAGAAATTTTATAAAAGTCTCGTTATACTCATTTTGATGAGTTTCTAATTGCTTCATACTCCATCTAAAATCATCAAGATTACTTTTGCTTGGAGGTTTGACCGTATTCAATTTGGTGAAAGCATTATACAGGTTATCTACCTTTACAAATATTGGAAATATACTTTCATCAATATCTTGGGGATAATTAATAGATTTCAAGCATATTTCAGAAATACTTATGTACAATTTTTGTACTCTTTTTGCTGCCATTTTTTTATAACAGTCATAAGGATTTATACATTTAGGAGAAAATTTCTCTATTATATATTTATTTAGTTTGTAATAAAAATATTTACAGCAGGATTGAATGTTCTTTATATTTTTTGTTCTTATATGATTTAAATATATAGCAAGCATTGTGCAAAATCTAGAGAAATCTGTATATCTATCATCATCCCCCAATTCTTTGTAAATATCACTCCACAAGTGTATATAGTTATTAAACACTTGACCATTATGTTTATAATATTCCCAACTAAAACCTTCACTATATGTGGGAAATAAGCCGCTAAAATCGATCTAAAAACGAAATTCATTATATATATGAAAATTAAAAAAAAATTATTAAGAAAATAAATATGCATGTTTTTTAATATACAGAAAACATTTAAATTAACATTACAAATCATAATTTTAATAAACCATTGAATAATATGTCCTTCCTTACATTTTTTTTTGTCATTCATTATATATTATATACATGGATAAATATGTAAATATATATATTCTTCTTAAAATAAACTCTAATTAGTTAAAAATGTCACAATAAATATTCTATTCATATTATATGTAATATTTCATGAAATGTTTTTAATTTTATATTACATTCATGCCTTCGATATATTATTCCAATATTTTATACTTCATTATTATTTTTTCTTTTTGTACGATTAAGGTTTTTTAAAAAATATAATAAAATTTAAAAAATAAATACATATCTAGGATATATACTATTACGCAAAATTGAAAACAATAAAATTTTAATGATATTATATGTATAGCACTATTTTGGTAAAATTGTTATAATAAGTAATAAATTAACATGAGTATGTAATATAATCAATAATTTCATTATAATACCTTTATTTATATTTCTATTATTACTACATAAATTTGATATGTTTGTTATAACTATAGAATTCTTTATATTAAAAATCATGTTTTGGAATGCATGGTTTATTATTCATATTTCTGCATATATATGTGTTTTATTTCATTCATTGTTTTTCTTGGAAAATATTTTCTTGAAATCAATAATATTCTAGTTATTAGTACATCCACTGCTTGTTTATAAAAAATATTAAGAAAACACGAATCTAACGTACCATAATTTATGTGAATTATATTACAATATGCTAAATACTCATTTTTATTTATTTATTATTATACATAAATTAATAAGGGCTTATGGAATATGATAAATTATCATTTTAATTGAATATATATATATTTACTCAAAAGAGAATTATACATAGTTTAATTCATAATATATTCATATTACAGGAATTTTCAGTATGTATAAAAGGAACAAATGAAAAAAATATATTTACATTTTATATAAAATCCATTAAGGTTTTATCATTTTTATGAATGATTATTTTATGTATTGCATAATATAAGGTACTAGTAATATAATTAGATTATTATCACAAATTTTTAGTGTATTCATTAGTATATATTTATTATTTTATACACCATTATACAATGTGCTATAATTTTGTTTTTATGGTGTCATTATATTTTTTACTTTTATTTTTTGTTAAATTTAAAAAATCAAATTATTATTCCTTCATGTGAAAAGCGAACACATTTTATAATAATATAAGTGAACTAATTCTATATTGATTGCTATTTATATTTAAAAAAAAAAAATAATAATATTTTTAATGTTTTTATTACTAATTTATGAATGTAATTCTTACAGTATTAAATTCATAATGCTTATTTCTTATTTTGATTTAATTATTTATGAAAAAATGGATATATATTATATAATTTATGTTTAAATTAAATATTTCTCAGAATATGACATAATAATTAAATTTAAATATACATAAAACGTAAGTAAATGATATTCTTGAAATAATAATTTGTTTATAATAAATATATAAAAAAGATATAAATAATGTGTATATTAAATATGTAAATTTACAGTCTCAAATTTTATAGATTTATTTTTATTATGTATTTTAATGCTTTTTATATCTTTTAAAATTTGTATATAGGCATCTTGCACTTTTTAGTGTATAATTTATATAACCATAATTTTTCATTCTTATAATATTAATTAAATATTGCTTTTCTCACAATAAATAAATGTTAGTAAATTATTTCTTTTTTTATATACTGTATAAAACTCTCTTGAATTTACTAAAATAAAAGTATTCATGAGACATCAAAATGAATATTTGTTATATAAAATCAATTATAGAGAGAAATTAATATATGTATTATGAAATTATTAATAACTATATAAAAGAAATATATAACCCACTTACTCCAATATTTTATTTTATATTATTACATTTTTAAATTAGTGTACGATAATCTATATTACACAAGCCTAAAGTAATAGATTAATACATTACTATATGAATTTATAAAAGGGTAATATATATAAAAGAATGAAATAATTAAATTTATTTTTTTCACTGTATAATTTATATAAAATGATTATTTTTTCTAACTTATAAATATATTTAACACATTTATCATAAAAATTGAAGTTCGTATATAGATTATTTATCTAAATTAATCATCTATGAGAATGTATTTTTCATTCGTATATTTATCCTCTATTTTACTTTCAATTATTTATAAATAATTTATCCTATAAAAATTATATCCTTTGATGTTATAATATTTTTCATTTTTATTACTAGTAGTAAAAAATTAATAATAATACATAATTAGAAATATTAAATTTAGTATATTACTTTTATTAAATTGTATCATAATGGAAATGAATTGAACCTAGAAATATAAGGCATTAGTGCCTTATAAATATAATTTATGTACCAAAGTATACATATAACATCAAGAACAATGCTCAATATATTTAAGGAAATTATTTTATATGTATAACTCTATTAAAAACTAAATATACTCATGAAGCATTATTTTATGAACACCTGATATATATTATATATATCTATATATTATGTTAGAGTATTTACACACATTATCTTTCTAATATACATTAAAAAAATTAAATTTAATTTACGTGTATATAATTTTATTTTATGCTTCAGAATTTATTGTTAAATTTTTTTTATATGTATGCATTTCATGAAATATGAAAATATATTTCATTTCTTATTGGAATTATTAACATTATTATTTTATAAAGTGAAATATAGTTTTTTCTTCTAATTAACCACTGTTCTTATTTAATATGTAATACGTCTTCATGTTTAATTTAATAGCAAGATAAATATTAGTATTATATCTTACTTTCATATATTCGAATCCATAATTGTACGTAATAAGGATTATTAATTAATTCATCCTCATTTTATCAGTATCTATAAATTATATATAATCAAGTTTTTGCTACTCTTTTTAAATTTATCTATATTTCTAACTGTGCATGTTTTTTTTTATGAATGCTATTACAAAAATAAAAAAAAATTTTAATCTTATTATTATATTGAAAATATAAGGTAAAATAGATATTTATATTATAAATATTAGTTCGTTTCTCTAATAACTTATTTAATAAAATGACAATAATGGAATAATTCTCCATAAAATTAGTATTATAGTTAATGCAATGATCATGCAAGTTTTCATTTAGATCATAGCTAAAATTTAGAGATAATTGCCTAGTATATAGTGATACCTGATCTGATACATAATATTTTATTTCTTCAACTGATTTTTCATAATGAAATTTATAATTTTCAATAAATCTTGTAACCTAATATCCCAAGGTCAATCTATGAGAAATATATTTTTATTCTTATTCCTTGTATTGAATTTATACAAGTATTGTCCAAAGTATATATATTATTGTTATTAACTAGAGCAAAAGTATGCAGCATTACATATACTGTAAAATTGGAAAAATTAATAATTCCCTATAAATAATTTATCTTTTTGATACATTACATTGATATAATTATTAATTTCAAACCTTAGAAAAATATAAATTCTTATATATGAATAAGAATAATTTAAAAAGATTTTTTCTATTGATGATTCTCCATCAAGGATTATGTATGATTTACTAAATTATATAATAATTTATTAAACAATTTTTATATTCATATTAAGTTATACATATATTTTATTTCTATTTTAGTTAAATAAAACAAAATATTAGATTTTATTAATAATAAAATAGTTAAAAATATGTATACACTTTCCTTGCATTTTAATATAATATAGAATTATAGTAATATAAATTAAATTCTCATATATCTGTAATAAGAAGTTCTTACTACGTAAAATTTTTTTCTTTAAATAATAAAATATTTATTGTGCTTTATTTATTTCAGGAATTTATATGATCTTATTCTAACAAGTTTATTTTTCTCATATTAAAATATAAATCAGATATTTTTTGGTTGTGCAATATTATAATATACAAATGAGTGAATATCATTAAAATATTTATAGACCATAATTTTCTTCATAATTTCCCTATTGTATTAATAATTATTCATAATAACATCATTAAAATAACACACTTAATATTAGTTCTCATGTAGAATGTATATTTAATAAGTATTTTTGAATAATTTTTACATAAAATTTTCTGTTCTATTCTTTATGTATATCTATTTAATACATATTTAATCTACATCAATATATGTAGTATTGCGATATGTATATATATTAAATTAATTGTGGTTCCTTTATATATATTTATTAAATACATTATGAAAAATAACATGTTCTTTTGTAATGACTCTTTTTTGTATTTATATTAGATTTATAACACTTTGAATTTATTATATTATTTGAGTCATATCTTCAACAAGATATTTTCTTTTTTTTAATTATTTGAAAAATTACAAATAAATACAGTTAAATTATATAGTGTTGTGCATAAAGAGAAATATATTCTTAAATGCCAATGGAGTGAGGAATGAAACTTGAATACAGGTAATTGATGAAACTATTAAACTACATGGAATGAATTAATCCATAATGTCTCCTTATGCTGTACACATAAAATAAAGAAAGTATTAATAATTATATAATAACAGAAAATTGATATGAAAATTAAAATAATATTTTTTATTTTTTATCTATAGACATATGATAGTAAAATAAATGCATTATTTATGTTTTTATATCATAAGTAATTCTAACAGAGTTTAAAATTTTCTTTTTCAACAGAATAATTTTATTTATTATTCTTACGCATTTTTACAACCACCATACGTATATCAAAAATAGATTCATCTTAACAAATATCATATTATTGGTATTATTTAAAAACATTTTTTAAATTATAATTAAGTATAATTAAATTTTTATATTTTTCAATAACTCCTCAATACCCAAATTTTTTATGTAATTATCTATTTCCACATAATCAAAATTGCAAAAATCATTAATCATTGCTTTGCAAAATATAATTATATATTATCTACTAAAAATTAAAATTATTTCGTGCATACACTTATGCTTATTCTTAAATTTTGGAATTAAATGAGAATTGTTATTGTTATGAATTTTAAATCTGAAAAAGTGTATATATTATATTGAGAAAAAAAATTTGCTGTAACATTTTTTATATTAATGGCGATTACCAATATATTCTTTTATTTCTCTTTGTGTGTATTACTTGAAATATTATAACTGTATATACTGGTATTATTATATATTTCTTTGATATTATTAGGTAATGATAAAACAAATCTCTCAATAAAAATTTATATTTTATGATATTTAAGAACAATATAGTTTCTAGATAAGTTTAACATTTGTGTTATACATAACTTTCTAAGTTGAAACATCAATGAATTAACAGTCTTTTATAAAGTAATTGCTTCCGTTTCTTCATAGCCCTCTTGTACGAATATACGAGCTACAATAAGATCCAAAATAATATGTGGAAAAAACAATTATTAAATAGTAAAACTGCATTGGAATAGAATTTCAATTTATCAATATTCTTTACTGTTCATACACCTAATGTACATAAGT